TTAACATCATATTTTAACAGTGAAAAAAATGGATGCTCTCCTCTATTGTTAGGAACAGGACAGGATATTCACTCACATAACTTCAGTTCAGTACCAGTTGAAGTTTCCAGCTCTTTCAATAAAGCAAGAAGAAGAATAAATACATAAAAAGATTTGGAGTAAGGAGGTAGAAATGCTTTTTTTCATACATGATTATGTACACAGGAAATTCTAGGGCATTTATAAAAAAATAAAAAAGACTACTGTACTAATATGTGAATTTAATAAGATTTCAGATGCAAAACCAATGTACAAAAATAAATTGTATGGCAAAACCAATACAATGTTGTAAAGTAAAATAAGTAAATAAATTAATTAATTAAGAAAAGAATAATAAAAAAGAAAATGCATGAAGAAAAAATTACATTTCTATACACTCAAAACAAACTTGAAAATGAAATTTTACATACCATTTATAATAGCATAAAAATCAGAAAATATTTAGAAAGATATTTGACAAAATATGTGTAAAGCTTCTTCACTAAAAAAATTGCTGAGGTACATTTTACTTATTTATTTATTTTGAGATACATTTTAAAAGACTCAAATAAGTGTGGAAATATGTCACATCTATGGGTTGGCAGATTCAGTGTTGTTTGTCAGTTCTTCCCAAATTGATTTCTAAATTCAAATGCAATTTCAATCACTATCCCAGCTGGATTTTTTTTTTTTTTTAAGAAAAACTGACAAGCTATCTGTAAAATTTTTATGGGAAAGGGAGCATCTGATATCAAGTCAAACCAATCTTGAAAATGCTGCAGAATTTACAGTACATAGATTCAAGACACTTTAAAGCCACAGTGACAAAAACAGTGAGGTACTACTGAAAAGATCAACACACAGATAAATAACATAAAATGGATCAGCCAAATTCACAGATGCATGGCCTACTGATTTTGACAAAGGCACTGGAGTAATTCAACATGTAGGCAAAGATTTCTTGGGACACATAATCCAGCACAAACCATAAAAGGAAAAAATGATAAACTGAATTTCATCAAAATTAAAACTGCTCTTCAAAAGACATCGTTAAGAAAACAAAAATGCAAATCACAGACCGGGAGAAAATAGTCACAATGCACATATTTGAAAAAGGATTTCTATGAGAAAGCACTGAGGTAAAAATTGTTAGGCAGTCAGTGTAGAAGTCAGAGTCTTTGTTCTTTTTCGAATTTCAATTTTAATCCTCACACACAAGTGTTTTGGCTCCACTAGCCTAAATTTGTATTTGTCCCAGTTTCCAGGCATTCAGAGGAATGCCTTCCTGGTCCGGAGGATCATAGAACATTCATATCCAGGACAAGAGAAGCACTGATGCCTGTCCAGTTTATCAAGGAGAAACATTCTGGGCAGACAATTCGCTCCTAAACACACATCTGTGCTGTGCTGTGCTTAGTCGCTCAGCAGTGTCCGATCTGCGGCTTCATGGACTGCAGGCCCCCAGCCTCCTCTGTCCGTGGGGATTCTCCAGGCAAGAACACTGGAGTGGGTTGCCATCTAGCCCCTAAATAATGGTCTGGGGGTCTTGAGAAAGGGTCAAGGGATGGCGTCGATATGTCTAGAAAAACTGAGAAACTGGGAGATCCAAGAAAGCCATAAAAATGACAAACTGGACATTGCAAAATTTAAACTGATTGATGAAAAATTACACATATCTGGGCCCGAGCCAACCAATAACGAACAGATCAATTCTAATAAAGATATAAAAGCTGCTGTTATTCCCATCTTTTGGGGCTCTTTACCCCTTCTCAGTGTCTATATTGAGGGCCTTGTGTCTCTATCCTTTTAAACATAAACTTTGCCTGCGTGAGTGTTTACGAGTTTGTGAAATTAATTCTCTGCCTCCGTGAACAGAATCCTGTTTCCCGTTTCAGCCCCACCAGATGTTCACCAGCCCAGAAGCTCTCTGAAACCCATCTTTTTGGGGTTTTATGGAGGCTTTATTACGTAGTGATTATTGTTTAAATCATTGGTCTCTGTACATTGAACTAAATCTCCAGCGAGTACCCTCTCTCTTCACTGAGGTGAGGGATTTCAGTTCAGTTCATTTCAGTCGCTCAGTCGTGTCCGACTCTTTGCGAACCCATGGACTGCAGCACACCAGCCCTCCCTGTCCATCACCAACTCCCGGAGCCTGCTCAAACTCGTGTCCATCAAGTCGATAATGCCATCCAACCATCTCATCCTCTGTCGTCCCCTTCTCCTCCTGCCTTCAGTGTTTCCCAGCATCAAGTTCTTTTCCAATTTGGGGACTGTAAATTCCAATCCTCTAATCAATTGATTGATTTCCCTGGCAACCAGGCTTTATCCTAAGGTGATTTAAGGGCTTGCCTTATCTTTTCATTAACATAAGGTAAAATACCTTTATTGCTCTCATCCCTTAAGAAATTCCAAGTATTGTAGGAGCATCCTTTCAGGAACTGGATGATGACATATAGGTATTTTTTTTAATAAGTCACAATATCACATAGCCCAATGATCTTCATTGTTCATGATAAGGTAACAGTACCACTGTTATGATTATTGTGTTGATTTCTGAGCCCATTTTGTTTTTTGGAAAATATACAATGGATATTCTGATGATTCTTTCATAAAATTTCAAGGGTGAAGCATAGACATGTTGTAAAAATGTAAAATCTGAAAGGAATAGTCCTTTTAATAACAGTAGATATGTGTGAATGATGGGTTGGTTATCAAGTACAGGAATATTAACTAGCATCAAGGTTTAGATCTAGGTATTCACTGAAATCATATTGATAAAAGCTTGTCTTTTATCTGAAAAATGTATATGTGTGTATATTTTCTGAAAAGATTTTATTGTGGTAAGAACACTGTAAGATCTACCCTTTTAACAAATTTTTAGTGTAGAATACATTATTGTTGATTATAGGTACAATGTTGTAAAGCAGGTCTCTAGAGTTTGTGGATTTTACTTAACTAACACTTTATGCCTTTTCATTAATAATTCTCCATTCCCCTGACCCTTTCAGCCCTGTTCCCTGGTAACCACTATTCCAGTTTTTAATTTTATTGACTATTTTAGAAATTTCATGTAAATGAAATCATGAAGTTTTTGTCTTTCTGTATCTGGTTTATTTCACTTAGGATACTGTCTTCGAGGTCCATCCGTATTTTCACATGTTGCTGAATTTTCTTCTTTTTGAAGACCAAGTAGTATTCCATTGTGTGTATATACCACATTTAACTTATCCATTAATCAGTAGGAAGACATTTAGGTTGTTTCTACATAGTAGTTATTGTGAATATTGCTACAATGAACATGAGTGTACACACATCTCTTTGAAATCCTTTTCAGTACTTTTGGATATATACCAGGAAGTGGGTTGGTTGAATCATAGGGTAGTGCTATGTTTTATTTTTTAAGGAAACTGACTATTAAATAAAAAAAACAAGCAAACAAAAAAAAAAAACTGAAGGAGAAAAAGAGTGATCCAATAAATAATGAAAATATATATAAAATACAGGGAAATAGAAGTTGTAAAAGACTAAATGTGAACACAGAGAGGCCTGTAGGTTCAAGAGCATATAGCATAAATTGTAGTGAATAGAGGAAATGGTTTCAGATGATGATCAGTGTAAGCTTCTTTTTCGAGGAAATGTAGTAAATAGTTTCTGTTCCTCCAATGTATAACCATTCATATCATTAAAAAATGCAATACCTTTATGTACAGCTTTTCATATTTCTTTTGAAAACGTTTGTAAGTTTCCAAGATTTCATACATCTGGCTGTTTTTACATTCTTTATTTCTTTGACTTAATTTTTGATGTGTGCTTGCCTATTTTAGAGACATTGTGTGTTGGCATTTCAATATATATGTTTGCACCTGGCAGGTTTTTGCAATACCAAAATACTTAAGTTCCTTAAAATAGTTGTTATCTGCTCTCACAATTTTCCTTTTCATTTCTTTCTTTCTTTCTTTTTTTATTTTTAGAAAAGCTTATAACATTTAAGAGGCTTCCCAGGAGGTGCAGTGGTAAAGACTCTGCCTGTCAATGCAGAAGACACAAGAGACACCAGTTCAATCCCTGGATTGGGAAGATATCCTGGAGTAGGAAATGGCAACCCACCACAGTATTCTTGTCTGGAAAATCCTGTGGACAGAGGAGCCTGATGGGCTAGAGTCCGTGGGGTCACAAAGAGTTAGACATGACTGAGCCTGTATGTATTACTATTATTACCATAATGTTTAAAAGTTTTGTTATTAAAAATTCAATATGCATTTTTTGTAATTTTTGTTTTAACATTTAGTATTTAGTTTTGCTATAGATTAATTGACAATAGGTGCCTGAGTTTCTTTCTGAGTTCTCTACTCTCCCCTTGATCAATGTGTCTGTTTTTGTGCCTGTACCAAACTGTTCCGTTTAGCTTTCAGTTTTTAGTATTAGTATTTAGCAAAATGCTATTTATTATTTCCATAATTGTAAAGGTTTATTATTCTCCTTCATAAAAGTGCTTATTTTCTGCGAGTTAACTTTTGCTTTATTTAACATAGTATTGCTTCTATTCACTCCCAAAGGTACGTGGGAATAAAATTTTGCTAGTTGTTCTCTATTGTACCTACCCCAAAGAAATTACCTAATACATATTTGTTATGTGAATCAATAAATAAATCATTTAAAAGTTTTTCATTTGAAAGTAATTTGAAAAACTAATGGCAACAATTACTTATTCTTTCTCTGGAAAATGTAAAAATTTACCAACTTACTGTTCTCTCTTGGTAGGTCTAATTTGGTGATATGCTTCTGTTTTACCTGTTGTGTTTCATTTTTGCTACTTTTAATTTGGAGGTGAAGCTAGGATTTAAATTTTTAAAAATTGTTAACCTGCTCGTAAATGATGTTTCTGAAGAAGTTGTCACTAGACCAGGATGAATGAGAGTGTTTTGAGTAAATTACCCTGATGGCAAAACTTGGTAAGTTCAGTATGTGTTTATTTGGCTTTACATTCTCTTGTTTTTTTTTAATATAGCAAGTCTTTTGATTGAGTTATTGAAGGCTTGTTTGACTTGCTTGTTTCTCAATGTATAAATGAAAGGGTTCAGCACTGGAGCGATGGAAGTAGTGAGGATGGTCACACCCTTGTTAATGGCCACTGAGTCCTTTGCTGAAGGTTTGATGTAGATGAAGATGCAGCTACCATAGGTGATTGAAACCACAATCATGTGGGAAGAGCAAGTAGAAAAGGCCTTTTTCTTCTGTTGGGCAGAAGGGAATCCTAAAATTGTCTTGATGATATAAATATAGGACAGAGCCACACACATCAGTGTCATAAGGAAGGTCAGCACAGCACAGATGATAACAGTCTGTTCCATGTACCAAGTATTTGAACACGAGATTTTCAGGAGGGGAGATGCATCACAGACAAAATGATTAATGGTATTAGAATCACAAAATTCCAATTCTAGGCCTAGGCTAAGTGGGGGGATTATAATGAATAGACCAGCTACCCAACAACAAAATACAAGTCTTCTGCAGACCATGCTACTCATGATGGTCACATAATGCAGGGGTTTGCAGATGGCCACATAGCGGTCATAGGACATAGCAGCTAGGAGAAAAAATTGAGTTACACCAAAGAGGTCAGTAAAAAATACTTGGCTCACACAGGCATTGTAGGTAATGACCTTGTCACCTGTCATGATGCTATACAGATATCTGGGAATACAAGCTGATGTGAATGAGATCTCCAAGAAGGAGAAATTTTGTAGGAAATAGTACATGGCTGTCTTCAGGTGGGAGTCCAGTAAGATGAGGAAGATGGTGGTCAGATTCCCAGTTATGCTTAGCATGTAGGTGAGAAAGAGAAAGATAAGAAGCAAAACCTGCAGTTGAGGGTCATCTGTCAGTCCCAGCAGAATGAATGTGGTTACTGTACTGTTTCTCATTGCTGATTGCTGAGTTCTGTTAAATCTGCATGTTAATGTTGAAATGTTTCATTTTAGATTATTTTAACAGTATGGAAGGTATCATATTCAAGTTTTTCCTTATTTATCATTATTTAAAAATATTTACAATTGAAATATTCACTTTGTAAAGGACTACTTTTGACTGTGGTGGGTCTGTCGTTTTGTAGGAGCAAAGATGTCTTGTGATATTCAGGAGTTCTCTGTTTGCATGTGTTCCCCATTCCGATCCCCCCTCTCACTTCCCTCTTAGCCTCCAACTAATAAAAGTAAATAAAAAAAAGAGTTTTCTGTTTGATGTTATTACTTGACGTTTTGTTCTTTATTAAAGTATTAAGATATGTAAGATCATTTGAGTTCACTGTGCACACATTCTGTAGTCACTTGAAATCTCTGTTTGAGCTCTATGATTAAAGAATTTGCTTTTCTATTTTTATTCATTGCATACACTTCCCCTCAACCCCTCTAAACTCTATCATATGTGCATGTAAACACAAACACACACACACACACACACATACAACTTTTTCAGCTCCCCATCTGATACTGCTTCCATTAATGTTTATCTTTCACTAAGTAATCACTTATGACCCACTGTGATGCAAAATATAGAATGTCTTAATGCACAATATAGTTGTACTTATGCATAATATGTGTTTATATTTTTGTGAAATGCCTGGTAAATAAACTTCAAAGATAATACAGATGATGTATTTTTCTGACTCTTTTATCTGTGTGTTAATATTCTCTTCACTTCTTTCACATCTCACCATACTAATATCCCCTTTTTATTTTCATTAATTCTTATGTTTTGCTATGTATTTCAGATGGTCATTTGTAAATCAATATCTTTGTTTTGTAATACTTGATTCTCAGATGAAATTTGACATATCTATTTGAACATTCATATGAACTATGTCACAAATAAAACACATGCTCTTTATCTCTCTCCCTTCTCCTCTTGATATGTTCCTTTCAATAATGATAATAGATTGCATTTATTGAGCACATTCCATGTGACAGATTTTTTTTGGTAAATACTTGTCATACATCATATGCTTTCTGTCTTCAACTCACTTGAATAACTTCTACTGATTTTCAGTTTCACCTTGAAGTCCTCTGGAAAGTTTCTTGAAAGTGTGTTCACTATACTATCTCTCATCCCAGCCTCTACATTCCCATAGGAAACAATGCTTGCTACCATTTTAATACTTAAGAAAGAACGCTTATTTATGTATTAAGTTTCCTCTGGACCCCTCAGTTCATGTCTATGTGGACTCACTTTGTTGTGTGAACTAATGTATTGCTTTACTGATGTGGGACAGGGTCAGCTCTGACTGTCTCAGTAGAAAATGCAGCTAAGGCCTCAGGGTTATAGTACCTGACATGAGGAAGAAGAAATGAATGAGGTTCATGGTTTGTCTTACAGAACAGCCTAAAAGGATTGGAAATATATCAGCAACTAAATTAGAGTAAGTTGATATGTAAGAAATATTTCTGCTGCTCATTGCCTACCTTCCTCCAACTCTTTTCCTAAATCTCAGGCAACACATGCATCATGTCACTGAATGAACTTAGCCCTATCACTACCATTGGATATCATCCGATGTTCTAAAAAGTCTGTTTATTTCCTTTTAAAGTTACACAAGGTTTAATAAAACAAAATTTAAAAGAAGACTCAGTGATATGTGGCTAACTGGTTTTTGTTTATCCTACTTTTTCAAGAGAAATGTTTGAAATGAGGGCAAGAATCTCTAATGAGGATGCAATTTCAGTCATGTAATTCTGTGGGGAAACTGAGGAGTATACCACACAATTAAATGAATATACCTGTTATTTTTTAATGTGAATTTAATATATTTCTGGATGGTCATCAAATTTTAATCCTGTTAGATGCCAGTATATTTTAGTGAATAAAAATCTCTGATATATCCAAAGGAACTGTATTCTAAAAACATGAAAAAAGTATATTTTATCAAATATAGAAATTTATCACTCACATTTTCAATTTTTAAAAGACAGGTAAAATATATTTTCCAAAGCATAGCAAGACTTAAATCACACAAGCCTGAATAAAATTGAAATGACCAATCTCACTTACTATTATGACTGTCAATCTTGGTTTCTGTTGTTTGTTGAAACATATGCAGTCTTAAAATTCCTAAATTGAAAATGATAGCTAGAACGGAGATTTTCATATGAACTTTTGGTTACTTTTGCTTATGAATCCACTGTCATGTTCAAACAAATCTAAGATGCTTCTTAGAGGTGTCTTTATGAAGCATCCATCTTCAAACAATTACATGGATTTCCTTGTTGTATTCTTATAACTTCTCTCAAAAAAATAAAGAAATATTATATGAAGGCGATGGAATGTCAGAAATCTTCTCCAGTTTGATGAAAATTTCTATGCTGACTTCTCAGGGCTATGAACACATTGACAATATCTAGCTTGACATTTTGCTTTATTTGATAAAAATACAACCAAGTGAATAAACGAAGATTCCCTGATGACCCAAGAACAAAGTCACTAATGAATCTTTTGAGTAATAAAATCTGTGGTAAAAAAAAAACATGGTAACTATAACTTCTTTGGATATAGTTTCCTTGGAGACAGGAGGATGCTGCAGATAAAGGCCAGTAGGAAAACAGAAGGGGATTCCCCAGTGGATCAGTGGCAAAGAATTTGCCTGCAATGCAGGAGCCACAGGAGACACGGGTTTGATCCCTGGGTCAAGAAGATCCCCTGGAGAAGGGCATGGCAACTCACTCCAGCATTCTTGTCTGGAGAATCCTATGGACAGAGGAGCCTGGTGGGCTACAGTCCATAGGTCACAAAGAGTCGAACACGACTGAAGTGATTTAGCATGCATGCATACAGAACAACAGAAGAGTCTGGTTGTAAAACAAAATTTTAACTTTCTTACTGTCACATGGAATAAACTAATACATAAGGTATGGGAAGACCATAAAAAACCACATCTCTTATTTACTAGTCTATATCATGAATCACTTATTACCTTTAGGAAATTTTAATTAGATAAGAAATTTTAAAATATGTAAAATCATATAACCCATATAGACTTGTTTCTTCAAATGTATCCACATATTTATAAGACTACTAAAAATAAGCATTAACAGATTATGTATAATTGGATACATAAGTCAATGTTCTTAATCTTCTAAATATAGTTTAAATTAATATACACATAATTATATATTATTTATTCTTATTAATTCATGTTCAACATCTTAATATTTTACTGTTCCTTCAGATATTAAAATCAAAGTACTATAAATTCATGTTCTTCAAAATTTTCCATGCTCCTATGGTCAACTAATTTATGACAAAGGAGGCAAAAATATGCAATGTGACAGGACAGTGTCTGATAAATGGAGCTGGGAAAACTGGACATTGTGTGTGTGTGTTTAGTTGTGTCTGACTCTTTGTGACCCCATGTACTATAGCCTGCCAGGTTCTTCTGTCCATGGGGTTTTCCTTGCAAGACTACTGGAGTAAGTTGCCATTTCCTCCTCAGGGGCTTTTACCCATACAGGGATTGAACCCATATCTCCTGTATTGGCAGGTAGATTCTTTAGCCACCTGGGAAGCCTGGGAAAACTGGACAGCCACATGCAATAAATAAATAAAATATTATAAAACTGGATTAGTGGTACCTTACACATTGCACCAAAATTAACTCAAATGGATAAAAGACTTGAATGTAAAACCTGAAACTATAAAGTTCTCAGTAGAAAACACTGGCAGTAAGTTCCTTGACTTTGGGCTTAGCGATATTTTCTTGAATTTGACACCAAAACCAAAGGCAACAAAAGCAAAAATAGACAAGCAGGACCTCATCAAACTAAAAATCATCTGCACATCAGTTCAGTTTAGTTCAGTCACTCAGTCATGTCCAGCTATTTGTGACCCCTGGGACTGCAGCACTCCAGGCTTCCTTGTCCATCACCAATACCTGGAACTTTCTCAAACTTATGTCCATAGACTCGCTGATACCATCTGATCATCTCATCCTCTGTCATCTCCTTCTCCTCTTGCCTTCAATCTTTCCCAGTATCAGGGTCTTTTCCAATGAGTCAGTTCTTCGCATCAGGTGGCCAAAGTATTGGAGCTTCAGCATCAGTTCTTCCAATGAATACTCAGGACTGATTTTCTTTAGGATTGATTGGTTTGATCTCCTTTCCAACCAAGGGACTCTCAATAATCTTTTCCAATGTCACAGAAAAAAAGCATCAGTTCTTTGGCACATAGTCATCATGTTATACAGTAGATCCTCAGATATCCTTATACTTAAAAGTTTGTGCTTTTTAAAATAACTGAACTCTCCTTATTCCCTCCACCCCCTAATTTTTGGTGACCACTTTTCTACTATGTCTGAGTTTTATTTTATTTTTTAGATTCCATATATAAGTGATACCATGCAGTATTTAACTTTGTCTGACTTCTCTCACTTAACTTAATGCCCCCAAGTTCAATCCATGTTGTCTTAAAAAGACAGAATTTCTTTCTTTTCAGTGGCTGAATATGCACTGTACATAGGCATGTGCATTTTTTCTGTACCCTTTAGGAAGAAAACTACTTTCTTTCAGCTTCTAAAGGTTGCATTGATTCTTTGACTCCTGTTTCTTTCCTTGTATCATTCCAACCTATTGTTTCAATTGTCACAACTCCAACTACTAATTTGATTCCTTTTCCTTCTGATTAAATGGTGCCCATTCAGATAATCCAATAAAAACTTATTTTAAGATCCATAACTTTATCATGTCTATCAAATTCCTTCTGCCATTTAAAGTAACC